TGGTGGTGAGAGATTGGGCGCCGCAACTGGAAATTCTGGCCCACCCATCAACGGGTGGGTTCATGAGTCATTGCGGATGGAATTCGTGTATGGAAAGCATTTCAATGGGAGTGCCCATAGCGGCGTGGCCTATGCACTCTGAGCAGCCCAGGAACGCCATGCTAATCACCAAGGTGCTGAAAATGGGTGTAGAAGTTGACGATTGTAGCAGCGGAGAAATGGTTAGCTCACACCGAATCGCAGATGGTGTTAAGAGATTAATGGGTTCAAGGGAGGGAGATGAGATGAGAAGAAGAGCAGAAGAACTAAGCCGCAACGTCAAGCTATCAGTCATGGAAGGAGGTGCTACTCGCTTAGAAATGGATTCTTTCATTTCTCACATCACCAGAGAGTAGCGATGAAGGCATCAAATGTACTATTTTTATTTTATTTTGAATCACACAACTTTTGAGATCGTATCACTTTGGTGCACAAATTTAATTTTTTTTTTTCAATTTTGGTGTCAAACTTTTTTATATTTATCTGTTTTGGTCCTTTTAATCAAATTGACGATGAAATATTACCCGTTTTTATAATTTTAGGTGTAAAATCGTCATCTTAAGAAATGATTTTCTATTAAGAGAAATCGTCGAAGCTATAAATCTCATAGATATGTGTCTAGTTTATGCCTGTCTTCCCCATTATTTTCATTTATCAAACACCCATAGATCTAATTTTACAATGGTTTTATTTAGATATTGCAGATTTTTCTTTCGGATGACGGTTTTACACCTAAAAATATAAAAGCTGGCAACATTTCAACGTCAATTTAGCTTAAAGGACCAAAATTGATAAAAATAACAAAGTTAAACACAAAGTTTGAAAATTTTTAAAATTGTGCACCAAAAGAGATAGAATCTTAAAAGTCGTGGAACCAAAAGTGAAAATAATTCTTTTATTTTATACATATTGAATTATTTCCATAATGAATTAAGAATTTCAATATTTTTTTTTTTTTGTTTTTTGCTCTTGTGAGTGGTATGAATTGAATGAGATTACCTATATGCTATAGCAAAATAATAATTATTATACTTTTGATTTTATATAATTAGTTATTAGTTGCGTTACGTGCTGATTTTTTTATTTTTTATTTTTTTGAATTTAAACTATTTAAAAAATAGAACATAGAATTTGTAATTGCAGTTTTAATTTTGAGTTATAGACTTATAGAGTACGTATAATTTTTGTATTTATTCTTGTGAAGGGAATTATTTTGGTAGGTAACCTAAACAACACTACTACAAAAATAACAAACACTTATTTGGTTTGGATTTCTTAGACAAAAATTTAAATACACTCAACAAGTTACTACTACACATTAGAGATGATCTCCATGGATGGCTAAGCTCAATTAATTTTGGATGAAAAATAGAGCATTTGTTGGGAGGTTATGATAATTGTAATGTGAGAATTAAAATTGATTGTTAAAAGAAATACTTACTATTGAAACATTATTTTTTAAGGAATAAAGTTCAAATTGACCACTGAACGTAACTTGAAAATTCAATTAGGTCACTCAACGAAAAAAAGAATATATACAATTAGGCCATTGAACACTCCAAATTTATGCAATGTCACCTAATAGCAGGTTACCTGCTTACGTGGCAGCTGAGTTGACATTTTTAATAATTTTTAAATAATTTTTAATAATAAATTTTTAAATTAAAAAAAAAAAAAAAAAACGACGAGGAAGCCCACCCCCCACCCCCCCCCCCACCCCTCGGAGACGAAAGAGGGGGAAGGAGTGGCCGGCGGCCACCCAGTCGTTTTATTATTATTTTTATTTAATTTTTTTTTCAATTTTTTTTAAATGTATTATTAAAATTTATTAAAAATTATTTAAAATGCCAACTCAGCTATCACGTAAGCAGGTAACCTGTTAAAATTGATGGTAACCTGCTATCCGGTGAAATTGCATACATTTGGAGTGTTTAGTGGCCTAATTGCACATTTTTTGTGTGTTCAGTAACCTAATTGCACCCTTTTTTTTTCGTTCAGTGGTCTAATTGCATTTTCAGGTTACAGTAAGATACTCAAAGGTTCGAACACAAAGGAGCAGAAATAAGATGATGGATAGAGTCAAAAAATTTAAATTTGTTCTCCCCCTCATAACTAAGAGCATGTCTAGCGAAAACATGAGCAACTATTGAAACATTATTAATTTGTCATCGATTACAACTTAGATTAGAAAGACATGTGAATTTTTATGTTTAAAATAACGATTTCTTTAAAAGAAGGATTAAATACACCATCTTAGTAACTAATTAAGATCTACTATTGCAACTTAACATTAATTATGGAAACAATACACATATTTTATAACTTAAGACGGGGCGGGCTAAAAAGTCCACCAAAACACGGGCCTAATGAAGGTCGGCATGTCCCGCACCGTCTTAGGCCCGCAGGCCTTGGCAAAGTCCAACAAATTTAAAAAGTTCTAAATTTAAATAAAAATTAATATCAAAAAGTTAATATGTGTATACTAAAATAATTTGGATAGTTTTATTTTTTGAAAATAAAAACGGCTAAAGTAAATTACTGCAAAATAGCTTAAACAAAGTCAGGAGGGACAGAGTTCCAATACAACGAACTAGCCTGATGAGAAGCTTTAGAAGCAACTAAATTTAACTTTATAGAGACTTAAACGAAAGAACAAATGGTAAACAAAGACATGAGATCCAAGCAATCATTATTCACAAATTCACAATCCCAACATGAGACCTAGGCATGATAGTAGAGGTAGTAAGGTAGCGGTGAAGAGCCGAACAGTCAGTATGTAGAACAACGGTAGCTACTCCACGGTCTTTGAGTCACGAGAGGACCCCTTACAAGCTAGGGATTCGGCCATTAGAGTGTTGGAACAGAACGACAGGTGGCCGTTTGTAGCCGCGAAAAACTCACCATTCGCTATACAAAGCACTGTGCCATGCGTTGTCGTGCAGTAATAACTCCTAATAAATAATCAAATACAAAATTTGTTAATCTATAAGTCAATAATAAATAATTTTAACAATGTACTAATTACTAATACATTTTTTCAATATAAATAAATAAATATACATATATTTATATATATAATTATATAAAATGGTGTGTGTGTGTGTGTGTGTGTGTGTGTATATATATATATATATATATATATATATATATATATATATATATATATATATATATATATATATATATATATATATATATAGGAAGGTTCAAGTGCGACAGTGCACTTAGGTGCGGCGGTGCGGTTAATTGTAGGCCATTAGATTAGATAAATCCAACGAATCACATTCATCAAGGCTTTTCCGATATTTTCGCGCGCGTTCTCACAGTACCCGAACTGCAAGGTTAAAGTCGTCATTGTGCACCAGAATATATCAAATCATAGTGTTGTGTGTTTTATGTTCATTATTGGTGCATTATTAACCTTACTGTGGTGTATTTGAGAATTCGTGTTGGTGCCTTCCCGAGCGGTCAGTGCGACCGCACTGATTGTTATACAAATATACACCATCCATGTTAGAAAATGCACACAAAAAAAAACATGCACAAATTCGATACGCATCACCATAACGCACCACTAGGTATGACTAAAAGCATCATAGAGTGTTCAGAATACACCATTGAGGTGGTGAGTTATATGGTGTATTTTTTGGGTGTGTTGTGTGTTTTTTGGTGTATTTGTGCATTTCATTGTGGTGCTTTTTCCTAACACTATTGGGGGGTGTTTGGTTGGATGGAAAACATTTTCCATGGAAAATATTTTCCTAAAAGTGAAGGAAAATGATGTTTTATGTTGTTTGGTTGGATGGAAAACATTTTCCATTGGAAAAAGTTTTCCTTGAGTATAAGGAAAACAAATTCCTAGCTTTTGTTAGGTATTTTGTTTTCCATGGAAAAGGTTTTCCATGGAAAACTAATATGTCAATTTTACCCTCACCATTATTTATTAATTACTCTTATTATTATATTATTATTATTGTTGTGTAGGGTTATATTTGTCATTATACACATTATTCCTTACCATTCCAAACTCAACCAAACAATGGAATTCATATTCCCAGTAATTTCTTTTCCACCAACCAAACAATGGAATCTATTTTCTTGGAATTTATTTTCCATGGAATTTCAATTCCATTTCCCTTCAAATATTTTCCAGCGAACCAAACGAGCCCTTGGTGTCTTTTGTTAACACTGTTGGTGTATACTGACAAGCGACCGATATAAATAACCACTACAATTACCATAATACCCCCCACTTACCAGGACGCGCTTAAATCTTTAAATCTTCATAAATTAGCCGCTGCCGTTAGATTAAGCAGAATAGACGACGCTAATATGGCCGCACCGCCGCACCTAAAGCCACTGCCGCATATGAGCCTTATTCTATATATATATATATATATATATATATATATATATATATATATATATATATATATATATATATATATATATACTGATATTAATAATGTATACATACTAAGCGGAGCGAGTTAAAAACCTTGTTAAAAAATAGACCATAAAATTCAAAGTCCACACCACTGTTTTGGTATGACAAAATAAATTAGCTCGGCAGACTAAGTCAAATGCCAAAATAAATTAGCTCGGCAGACTAAGCCCGTTTTGACGACATCAGTCAAACATGGTTTTCTTCTTTTATTTGGCGGCCAAGAAATATATATTGCTTGGCAGACAAGAACTGAAAGCAAACTTTGTAGATTTTTTAAATTTGGGATAATTACGTTTCAATTCATTAAGGATAAGTTTCCAAAAAAGTTTGAAAAAGACATGCATGGAGGCAATTTTATTCATAAATCTATTATTAAGTTTATTCATAAGTCTATTATTAAGTTTAAATTTTTGGTGTAAAATTTAAAGATCTATTTCACCATTTTCTCAAATATTAATTATATATTGACATCATATATATTTCCATTACGTGCTGAAAATAAGGAAAAATAAAAATCAATATTGTTATAAAAACCTATTCCGAGCCCGAGGCTTGTTAGAGCAAATCCAAATATTTGAAGATGGGAGATCAGAATAGCCAAAACTGCGGCATAGGAGCAGAGGTGGTGGTAGTGATGGTGCCTCTGCCGGCACAGGGCCATCTCAACCAGCTCCTCCACCTCTCCCGCCTTATCTCTTCCTACAACATACCCGTTTATTACACCGGAGCCGCCACTCATCTCCGCCAGGCCAAGCTCCGAGTCCAGGGATGGGATCTTCTCTCCCTTTCTAAACTTCATTTCCATGAATTCCCAACACCCTCTTTCGAATCCCCTGATCCAGACACCAAATTCAAGCCACCCTCCCAGCTAGCGCCGTCCTTCCACGCCGGCTTGCTCCTCCGTGAACCCCTCCGCGACTTCCTCTCAAATCTCTCCAAAAACACAAGGAGAGTTGTTGTGATTTATGATTCTTGGATGGCTTGGAATGTTCAAGACATTCCTTCCATACCAAACGCGGAGTCTTACGCCTTCCATAGCACTTCGGCTTTCTCTACGTACTCCTTCATCTGGGATATTATGCAGAAGCCGCCTCTGCCGCCGGAAGCTCAAGTACTGAAAGATCTTCCAAATCTTGAAACTTGTATGCGTCCGGAGCTGGTTGAATACGGCAGGCTTCAAAATGAAGCCTTGAAGTTCAATTCCGGAGCCCTTTTCAATTCTTGCAGGATGGTTGAAGGAGCATTCCTCGACTTACTTGCGAAAGACCCCACGCTTAGAGCAAGCCAGCAATGGGCTATTGGACCATTTAATCCGGTAACCCTACCGGAGAATAAAGATTCCGGTATGCGCCACAAATGCCTGGCCTGGCTCGACAAACAAGAACAAAATTCTGTGATTCTCGTTTCATTCGGGTCTTTAACTTACCTATCTGAGGAACAGATCAATGAGATCGCGATTGGGCTAGCGGAGAGCGAGCAGAAGTTCATTTGGGTACTTAGAGAGGCGGATAAAGGAGACGTTTTCGTGGGAGAAGCAAGGAGAGCCGAGCTGCCGGAAGGATACGAAGACGGAATCAACGGCAAGGGAATAGTGGTGAGAGATTGGGCCCCGCAACTGGAAATTCTCTCCCACCCATCAACGGGTGGGTTCATGAGTCACTGCGGATGGAATTCGTGTATGGAAAGCATTTCAATGGGAGTGCCCATAGCGGCGTGGCCTATGCACTCTGAGCAGCCCAGGAACGCCATGCTAATCACCAAGGTGCTGAAAATGGGTGTAGATATTGACGATTGTAGCAGCGGAGAAATGGTTAGCTCACACAGAATCGCAGATGGTGTTAAGAGATTAATGGGTTCAAGGGAAGGAGATGAGATGAGAAGAAGAGCAGAAGAACTAAGCCGCGACGTCAAGCTCTCAGTCATGGAAGGAGGCGCTACTCGCTTAGAAATGGATTCTTTCATTTCTCACATCACCAGAGACTAGTGATCAAGTGTACTATTTTTATTTTATACATTATTGAATGCTTTCCATAATGAATTAAGAATTAAATTGTAATGACAAGTCAAATTTCAATAATTGCCTTTTATTTATTTATTGCATTTCTTCTTCCAAAAAGTTTTTTATTTTATTTTATTTTATACATTATTGAATGGTTTACATAATGAATTAAGAATTAAATTGCCATGACAAGTCAAATTTCAATAATTGCCTTTTATTTATTTATTTATTGATTGGAGTAAATGTCAGCCAAGGTCCTCCGAATTTGTTGGTTTCGCCACTTTTAGTCCTTAACTTTCAAATCGACCTTCCGTGATCCTTCGGATTTCGAATTCGACCTGCCGAAGTCCTTCCGTTAAAATATTCCGACTGAACCTTGAAAAGTAAGGGCAAAACAGTCTTTTTATTGCACCCCAACAATTTATTTTCCTTAGAAATTAGCCCTAATTTTTTTCAATTGCAACTTTTTTCGTTCAATTGCAATTTTTTTCCTCAGAAATTCGTTCAATTGCAATTTTTTCGGTGGATTAGGGCTAATTTCTGAGGGACATGAATTGTTTTGGTTGGGGTTGCAAAAAAAAGGTTGTTTTGCTCTTAATTTTCACGACTCATATGAAATATCTTAACGGAAGGACTAAGGCAGGTTGAATTCGAAACTCGGAGGATCACAGATGGTCGATTTAAAAGTTCAGGACTAAAGGTGGCAAAACCACCAAAATCGGAGTACCTTGGCTGTCATTTACTCTTATTTATTGCATTTCTTCTTTCAAAAAGTTGAACCCCAACCCTAAGGGTCCCCCACACCCCGTCCTGACAGAGCATTTGGGAGGACGTAAATCATGGTAACTCAATGAGTTGCTCTCACACTGCTGCTGGTGAGACTCGATCACTGGTCATTCTTCCAAACTTTCACTTCTATGATCAATTGAGCTGCCCATGCGGGCATTTATTGCATTTTTTGCTCTTGTGAGTGGTATGTATGAGATTACCTATATGATATAGCAAAAAAATAATAAGGATTAAGGTCAAAATTGGCCACTGAACGTAACATGAAATCCAATTAGATCACTAAACGAAAAAGAAAAAAAAAAAAAGATGCAATTATGCCACTGAACACTTCAAATGTATGTAATTTCATATGATACCAGATTACCATCCATTTCATTATGTTGCATGCTTACGTGGATGGTGAGTTGGCCTAATTGTACAAAAAAAAAAAATTCAATAAAAATGAATAAGTATAGTAGATTTGAAGGATATATACGATGATTAAAAAATAAATACACACTGGTCAAAAAAAATTTACCATTGAGTGAATTGAATTTATTATAAAATGAATAATAACTATTTAAAAAAATAAAAAATAAAAAATAAAGCAGCATGGTGGGGGATAAATTGTTCCCATCATGTTGCGCGTCATTCTGGCGTGTGTGACATGCGCCACGCACCATGCAATTGGCGCATATCGCTCACGCGTCATGCACTTTAGGAGACATTTTCCGGAGCAGCCTCTTTCTTTGAAAATTGTCTTCCTCATTTCTCTTTCTTCTCTGTTCTCTCAATTTATTTTTAACGAGAGAATTACCGATTTGGTCCCCTGACTATGAGGATTTCACCAATTTAGTCCTCGACTTTCAAAATTTCTCAATTTCGTCCTCGACTATGCTAGTTTTACCCAATTTGGTCCTAAGGGTTAATTGTTGGTCAAATCTAAAAGGGCAATTCTGGGATTTTTAAAAAAGCATCTTCGTCTTCCTAGGTCCCACATTGTCCTTCCCATTGGTCCCCATTGAACAGAGAATATAACCTAGGTTTCCACTTTATGCATAAAAAATTGGGCAAAAAGAACAAAGAATATAACCTAGGTCTCCACTTTATGCATAAAAAACTGGGCAAAAAGTTGCAATAAAAAACCCACCCAACAATACATATATCGCATAAAAAACTGGGCAAAAAATGGCAATTAAACACCCACCCAAGAGTACATATATCGCATCAAACACTGGGGAAAAAAAGAAATGTTTCGTACCGGTATTGGAGTTGAAATCAGCATCATCTCTTCGTGAACCCATTACAAATAACAGCCACTTCTCGAATCGCCTTTTAGGGTCTAATTTGATGCTTGAAACACAAATGATTTATCAACTCATTGCTCAAATTTTCACATGGAGTTGTGCGTTTAGGGTTTCAGATTTGGGAGTTCGAAAATTTGAATGTTTTGTTTGTCTGAAATAAGAGGCAAATCCTCGAATTAACTAAAGCCAACTGAGAAAATAAACAAAACAATGTGCAATTACAAAAATATCCTCAGTTATATTGCCTTAAACAAGCTAGTTTGACTTTAGGACCAAATTGGGTAAAAATGACATAGTTGAGGACGAAATTGAGAAATTTTGAAAGTCGAGGACTAAATTGGTGAAATCCTCATAGTCGGGGGACCAAATCGGTAATTTTCTCTATTTTTAACTATTAGAGATGTTTAAGGATACTTGAAATTTTAGTTGTAAGATATGCTAAAAAAATTAGAAGTTGAAAGTTGGAAATTAAAAATTTATAAATGATGAGATAATTAGTACAACAATTTGAAACAAAATACATTCTAAAAATTTGTAACCAATTTTCTTGTAATTCTTTGATTTATGAAATTTTTTGTAAATATCAACTAAATATATTATAAAAGGTGAGGAGACAATACAATCTTCTTGAAGCAGTGAGTCTAGCTGCAATTGATTGGTGGCAGGTACACAAATTGGAAGCGCATTTCAATACAAACAATTATTAGGAAATAATTGGTGTACTCTCATTTTTTACTCTCAATTCTCTCACATGGTCTTGATATAGACACTTTTTTGTGGACTCACATGTTGAAAATAACCAATCCTGGTTTGCCACCCCAGAAAGTACAAATGAGGGAGTAGAATTTGAGAGTCCATGTAGTAGAACTCCAATTATTAATATAGACAAATTAAACCGACCTATTCTGTGTGAGTGTGTGATGCAGAAGCATCAATGTATTTTTCTTTTTCTTTTTTATTTTTATAAATATAACATACTATATAATATATTAAGCATTTAATTCCTTTCAAAAAAAAAAAAGCATTTATAATATTTTATCGTTATATTATATATATAGAGAGAGGTAATGCAAAGGATTAATATTAGAGAAAATTGTACTTTTGGTCTCTCACTGTCAATTTCATTCAATTGGGTCCTTCAAATCTTTAAATCGTAGTCAATTTGATCCTCTGGTCAAATTTCTTTTAAATCAGTGTTAAATTCATGAACAAAAAGGTAATTTCACCCTCTTTACCCCCATTCTTCAACCATGCGACTTCTTGCCAATTTTGACCAAACTTTTCGACGCCGGTGTTTCTTGTCATGGCAATCTGATCCGATCATCTGCCGGCATTCGATCAAGTCCAAGACATTCTGGCCGATCTTGGTTGTAAGGGTCCTAGCAATCGGAGGGTGGCGACAATGAAAAGGAAGACATCAAACCTCTCTCGCTACCTCTGCAAAGTGATCGCCTTCCTCAGATTGATGATCGGTCAACATCTACGAAAGTTCGCGACGCAACCCAGTCTTCGTCGTTGAAGGATTCCTCGGCGATTCAGCCATTGCATGGGAGATCAAAGACCATAGATGGTGTCAAGACGTGCGTAGACCCACCCCCAATGCTCAGATTATTGATCGGAACTCTCTGGGCTTTCTGGGTTTTGTTGGGCAGCCGGCGAGTCTCCGGCGAACAGGGTACTCTGCAATGGCGATGTAGGGTGGTGTACATTGTTTATATGTGTGTACAAATTTAAACTCAAATTCAGCTTCTTTATTAGGTAACTCAGCACTGAATTGGCCAATAACAATTATTTGTTTATAAATTCAGGTGGGTAAAAGTGAACACCCGTTATGTAAACGTTTGAAGCCAACTTATAAAAATCTAAATTGTCCAAATAGAATAATCATAAGAAGTGATGATGAGGAGTATGAACACATATAGAACAAGGGGAAATACAGCAGAAACGAGAGACCTTTTGATAATCGCGAGCTGCTGCGACGATGATATTTCCAAATGCCAAACGTAGAAAGAGTTGATTTCACCGAGATCGGATCCATTTCTCGCTCTATCTCCGAATTACAATTGAAATTTGGCGGAATCTAGACGAGAACGAAGATCTGGATTTCAACTTTCAAGCGTGGAAACTCTCACCAAATCTCCGAATCCAAGCACTGCACTTTGTAACTGCATTTTTTTTTTTTTGGGAATGACAACTGCGTTTTTTTCTTTATAGCAAATGATTTATACTCCTATTGCCGTGACAAGAAAAGCTGGCGTCGAAAAGTTTGGTAATTGCCGACGTATGAGAAGTCGTGTGGTTGAAGAATGAGGGTAAAGAGGGTAAAGTGAAATTACCTTTTTGTCCATGAATTTAACCTTAATTTGAAAAAAATTTGACCAGAGGATCAAATTGACCACGATTTAAAGGCTTGAGGGACTCAATTGAATGAAATTGACAGGGAATGACCACATTGCAGATCGGGAAACAATTGAGGGACCAAAAATGCGATTTTCTCTTAATATTATCTTATTATCTCAGTCCAAATTGCAGAATTGAAGATGGCTGGCCGTATCAGCCACGGCGGCGGCCCGAGAGTAGAGGTGGCTGTAGTAATGGTGCCACGACGGCGGCCCGGCAGTCTTTTGTGTATTACTATTTTTTTAAAAATTTTTATTTGTTATTTTATTATTATATTTATAATATGGATCACACTTGTATGAGATCGTATCACGAATAAGGATCTGTGAGACGGGTCAAGTCGAGTCAAGTCAATATGGAACTGTAATACTTACACAGAAAAATATAATACTAATTAGAAATAAAGTGTTTGTTACTTATAAAGGAAAGTGTAATACTTTTAATAAAAAATGTAATACTTTTACATTTTGATACTTATAAGGGAAAATGTAATATTTTTGAGAAAAAAAATGTAATACTTTTAAATTAAAATGTAAAAGTATTACATTTTTCTTTACAAGTATTATACTTTTCCATATAAGTACGAAAAATTTTATTCATAATTAATATTACATTTTTCAATATAAGTATTACATTTTATATTGACTTGACCCATCTGGCCGTCTCTCACAGACAAGGATCCGTGAGATGGTACCGCACAAGTTTTTGCCTTATAAATTATAATATAATATAATAGTGATATCACTTTTGAAAGTGAGAGAGTATTACATGGATGTAGATAAAATAGTTAAGAATTACAAATTTGATTATGCAGAGGTGGGATCCACTTTTAAAAGTAAAAAAGTATTGCAGGGATAAGGATGGTTTGTGGGATTGAGATGACTACGGTTCGAACAATCTACGGTTGGAATCAAACTGGAACAGGTTCCATAACTGAAAAATATATATATATTTTTTTTAGCTTAACATCAAAGTTTAAATATTTTTCTTCAAAAAAAAAAAAAGTTTAAATATTTGATATAACCATTTTTTAATATATATATATATATATATATATATATATATATATATATATATATATATATTATTTTTGAATTTAAACTATTTAAAAAATAGAAACAAAAAAAACAGTTAGAATCAGAACCTTAATATAAGGTTTTGGTTTCCTTTTTGAAAGAATAAGGTTCTGGTTTCTACTTCTACCATTTTCAGAATCAGAACCTAAATCGTGGTCACGGCTAAGAGATATGAAAGAGACTATAAAGCAAAATATTAATTATATGTTGAGATTTTAGATACCTCCATTACGTAGCCTATGAAAATATAAGTGTAGCCTGCATGGGTAGCTCAACTGGTCATAGAGGTGAAACTTTGGAAGAATGACCAGGGATTGAGTCTCACCAGCGGCAATGTGGGAGCAACCTCTCAAAGTGAGGGGGCTCCTTGTGGGGGCTCCTTGTGTGTAGTGAGCACTGGTTTAGCCTTTGTGGTTCATGTTCAGTTGAGTCATCATTATCTAAGTTTTTTAAAAATACTATTTAAAATTAAATATATAGGCTTTATTTTTATTTTTTTCCCTAATTACTCATCAGTTAGAAATTGCGATAACTACTAGTTTTCTTGACCAATCTAGTCGTCAAAAAAAAAAAAAAAAAAAATTGGCGAGCTTTCTTGGTGATGGGTGTTATTTACTACTTTTTATTGGTTCTCAAAAATATTTGACAAAAAGTTTTGGAATTATTAAAGTGATCCATAAATTGGATTTTTGACCACAAACTCTTGGCTTTTGACATTTTCTTGGTGATTGAACATTAATAGGGTGTTTGGTTCGATATAGTTGAAATTCTTTTATAATTTATTCCATGATAAAGCAAATTATTGTATTTGGTTGGAGGGAACCCTCATTTTGCTGAATTGAAATTCATGGACATCCCTCATGGATTGTAATTCGGTGGTTATGGGAAAGGAAAAAAGTGAAGAAATGACAAAAGTATAATTATTATTATTATTATTATTGTTATTATTATTATTATATTTTAGTTTTTATATCACGTCTTTCCTTTTTATTCTCAATAATTCTAATCATCTCTGTCAAACAATGTAATTTAAATTCTTACTGTATTTCTACCTTATTTTTTTTCCACCAAATTACAATTTATTTGCTTCATAATTCCTTCTTCTCCCAACCAAACACCTTGTTATTGGCCCAAAAATCGATTATTAATAAATTTCCTATTGTAAAAGTGGAATACTCCTAAAATCGATTATTAATAAAAATCAATAGTAAAATGGGAATACTTGAAGTGGCTCGACCTTTAAAAAAAATTCAAACTTTTGCATTAACTAAAATTTGGCCCAAAAATCCCGGATTAATTCATACGATTATTATAGTAACATTTTTTATTATATATTGTCAACGATAATCAATGTAATCACATTTATTTTTTTAAATTACCAAAATTTCTCCATTTTAAATTAATCTTTATCTTTTTTAAATGTATGAAAATTAATAAATAATACGGAGTAAAAATATGATTATAGTCATTTAGTAAAAAAAAATTATTTCTTATTTTGAAGTATCAAAAAATTAAATTTTATTTGTTTGATCCTGTACTTAAAAAAATCACTCCAAAACCAAATTCAACGTCAGCAATCCAACAGTGCCAGCAGTACGTGAGGACAACTATGCATAAAAAAAAAAAAAAAAAAAAAAAAAAATGCCTGCATTGCAACTTAGTTTGTTATATGGGTGAAGTTTGACAACAGCTATGCATCAATAATCTCCCAAACGTTCATCATTTCACAATCACAACTCATTATTACATTAATTAATACCAGTTTCATAAAAGTTTTAACTAAATAAATACCCAACATTTTTAGCATTTCGTTGAATTAATATAAGGACCTCCACAATGATTCTTTTTTTTTTTTTTTCTCCTCATTTTGTAGGTCAAGCTCCTATACATTATTTTATAATCTCCTCTTTTTTTTTTTTCTTTTTTTTTTCTTTTTTTTTTTTTAGGTCATACTTCTTCACACTCATATACATCATCTATTACTCCGTATTATATATAATTTTATATAATTAATTATTTTATGGTTATATACTTATATATATAGAGGTACAGCAAAGGATTAATATTATATTATTCAGTCCAAATTGCAGAATTGAAGATGGCTGGCCGTATCGGCGACGGCGGCAGCCCGGGAGTAGAGGTGGCTGTAGTAATGGTGCCTCTGCCGGCGCAGGGACATCTCAACCAGCTCCTCCACCTCTCCCGCCTAGTCTCTTCTTACAACATACCCGTGTATTACACCGGAGCCGCTACTCATATCCGTCAGGCCAAACTCCGACTCCATGGATGGGATCCTCACTCCCTTTCCAAACTCCATTTCCATGAATTCCCAACACCTTCATTTGAATCCCCTCCCCCCAACCCCGATATAAGGTACCCCACACAGCTACTGCCGGCGTTCCACGCCGCCTTGCTCCTCCGCGACCCCCTCCGCGAATTCCTGTCCGATCTCTCTAAGGAAACAAGGAGAGTGGTTGTGATTTATGATAATATGATGTCTTGGAATGTTCAAGACATTCCGAGCATACCAAACGCGGAGTGTTACGCATTCCATAGCATTTCGGCGTTCTCGATTTACTCCTTCATCTGGGAAATTATGCAGAAGCCGCCCCTGCCGCCGGAAGCTCAAGTACTGAAAGACCTTCCAAATCTTGAGGCTTGTATGGCTCCAGAATTCTGGGAATTTAACATGATTCAGCTTCAAGCCTTGAAGTTCGAATCCGGAGTAGTTTACAATACTTGCAGGGTGATAGAAGGAGCTTTCCTCGACTTATTGGCTAAAGAACCGATTATCGGAACGGGGCAACAGTGGGCCATCGGACCATTCAATCCGGTAATCCTACCGGAGAATAAAGATTCGGGTGTGCGCCACCAATGCCTGGCCTGGCTCGACAAACAAGAACGAAATTCGGTGATTTTCGTTTCATTTGGGTCTACAACTGCATTATCTGAGGAACAGATCAATGAGATCGCGATTGGGCTGACGGAAAGCCAGCAGAAATTCATTTGGGTACTAAGAGAGGCGGACAAAGGAGACGTTTTCGTGGGAGAAGCAAGGAGATCAGCCGAGCTGCCGGAGGGATACGAAGAAGAAGGAATCAACGGCAAGGGAATGGTGGTGAGAGATTGGGCGCCGCAACTGGAAATTCTGGCCCACCCATCAACGGGTGGGTTCATGAGTCACTGCGGATGGAATTCTTGTATGGAAAGCATTTCAATGGGAGTGCCCATAGCTGCGTGGCCTATGCACTCTGAGCAGCCCAGGAACGCCATACTAATCACGAAGGTGCTGAAAATGGGTGTAGAAGTTGATGATTGTAGCAGCGGAGAAATGGTTAGCTCACACAGAATCGCAGATGGTGTTAAGAGATTAATGGGTTCAAGTGAAGGAGATGAGATGAGAAGAAGAGCAGAAGAACTAAGCCAAAAAGTGAAGGTTTCGGTGATGGATGGGGGTGTTGCTCGCATGGAAATGGATTCATTCATTTCTCACATCACCAGAGAGTAGCCTCTAGCCAGCCATGGATTGAAAATTATTTTGTTTTTCATTATATTGCATTTACCTTAGTTTTTTTTTTTTTTTTTTTTTGAAAATGCATTTACCTTAGTAATAAACTATGAACTAATTAAATTACCCTAATAGGTCCAGGGGTTATTATTCATGATTTATAAGAATGCTAAGTATGCTTCCTAAGATGCTAAAACTAACCGTGGATGCTACTAGTGAAGCCAAGGAAGCACGAAAGTTAGAAGAAATTGCTATCAAAGAACACTTTTTAGCATGGCAAAAAGGAAATGAAGTAGCAAGATTTTGCAAGCTTGATGGCAAAAATTAACCTGAGTAACAAAGATTTTGCAAGCTTGACGGCAAAAATCAACCTCATGTGAAGGCCGAATGATTGAGGATCAACAAGGCAACACGAGAAAATTAAGTATAGATCAAAACTTAACCTAGAGTTTGAATGAATCAAATCTCATGTTGCATCCAGGACTCAACAAATATTGAAGCGAGAAAAATGTTATCTGCTACAAATTCAAGAATTTTCTCTACAAAAATTACTGAAGAATACATGTCGTCAAATGTGAAAGGAACTATAAAGTCAACAAGCCTGAAGATGCAGACCAAGTTACAAGTAGAAATTTAATTTCAATATGTCAGAATCAAGTTGCAACTCAAAGCCGAAAGAGACGATCAAATTGTCAATTTATCAGATCAAGCTACAAGTTCCAAGAATTCAAAAATCAAATTATCTCGTTCCAACGAATACATTTGATCATCTATAAAAGGCATGAAGACTTGAATATCAAAACAGAGTTCTGAGAACCAACGAATGAACTGAGATATCTGAGAGCAACAAAGCAAGAAATCTTCAAGTTTAATATAGTTCATAAAATATCTAGAAAAGAGACTAATTGTTAAAGTCTATGAGAGTTAGAGAGCAAAAGAAAATTGTATTTTCTTATAACAAAATCTATACTAGGTGTAGATAGATGGAAGAGTAGCAAGATGAACTTGTGAAAACCCTGGGAGTGCTGGCTTTGTGTGAAGCACTCATGTTGTAGAAGTGATGAGTTAGTTGGTGAACTAGCACTTGATTGTTCACTATTGTATCTAGGTGATTGGAAATAGTGAGTTCCTCCTGAAGTGATGAGTTAGTTGGTGAACTAGCACTTGATTGTTCACTATTGTATCTAGGTGATTGGAAATAGTGAATTCCTCCTAAAGATAGGAGTAGAGTTGAAGTAGGATGAGTTTGGCCGAACTACTAAAAATTCTCTCTCATTTACTTACTCCTCTCACGTATATCTTGGTTTGCATATATACATAATATCTTATATCATACACATCTTATATACATTTCTATCGTATTGCATGTAGTGATCACTTTAGTAACACATCATTTTTTTTTATTATTATGGCACTTTACGTACATATATTTATTCCGATGTGCACTCTAAGTTAGATTTTCATTAATCTAATTTACTTAGGAGTTATTTTGACAAAGTGCTATAAATTTTAATTTGTTTGAAAAAGTATATCAACCCCCACCCCCCTCTCTAGACTTTTCACCACCAATTCGAGACCAAAGTTGTTACCGCTTTGATCATTTCTAACTACAACATCATTCATTACTAATAATGTTGAGTCATGCACTACATAACTAACATGTTATCATTATTTGTCCATCAACTTTTCAACATGCTTGGAGGTTATGTTTCTTTAGGTACCGACATATCTTGAGTGGTCGTATATTCTGAAAATTCTGACAAAGGTATTTTTTTGTGGGAGTCTAAGGGTTTATCTCAATAGGGTATGTGGTCTAATGGTACTCGAGTTGAATTTTTATTTGGAAGGTTGTGAGTTTGAGCTTCAGTGGAGGCGTTATTGGTTCTTTCTGAGATTCTATTTTGCATTAAAAAAAAACTGTTATTGGTGTGTAACTTTCATATTCGAACAGCCGGATCTTGAGTCCTTACTCATCAATCTACTACTTAGACTAACTAAGCTACTCAGGCCTATTTCACTTATAATCATTTGATTCGCTATTTATGTTATCTTTTTGGCGGGATTCTGAGTCCTTGCTTCTCAATCTACCACTTGAAGACCAAATGAACTACTTATGCAGGTGTATTTCACTAATTCTCATTTGACTCATTTTTTATGATCCCTCTATTTGGCAGGGCTTATTTAGGAGCTTATACCTTATTTTAAGCTACTAATAAACTATAAGCTCTGTTTAGTAATGTTCTCAAAATAAGTTCCTAACTTAAAATAAGAGTTTATTTTGGAACGCTACCTTAGGTAATGTTTTAAAATAAGCTCTTAGCTTCTTAACTTTTTTTCCATCTTTATCCTTATTATTTTAAAGAAATGACATATTTTACCCTTCCCAATTAAAATCCTTTTCTCTTCTCCTTTATACGCAACTTTCACCGCAAATAATAATAATAATAATAATAATAATAATAATAATAATAATAATAATAATATTATTATTATTATTATTATTATTATTATTATGATATATTTGCGACAATATTGCTACTTCATTATGAGATGCTAGATCATGATTATGCTAATAGTTTTATTTCAAAATGTTAATTTTTTTTTTAAAGACTAAATGTTAAATTTTAATATGTAAACAAACTAATTTAAATTTTATGAAGATGTCATTTTTCGCTTTTTTACATTTATTGGCTTACCAAAAAGCTAATTTTACCAAACACTTTCAATCATAACAGCTAGCTTAACAGCTCTTCAGTTTTCGGCTCCGAGCTTATAGCTTTTAAGCTAGATTTGCCAAACAGAGCCATGGTACCTTTAAAAAAAAATAGGAGTAACTCATTCCACTACTGAAATTTTAATATTTGTATTGAAAAAATAAAGAAAATTATACACACACACACACACACACACACACACACACACATATATATATATATATATATTGATTCCTGTGAGAACAGATCTTTCCGTACGGTCAATGCGGTATACACCATTAGGTATGCATAAATGCATCATACAGTATTTGAGAATACATCAAAATAAAATGTCAAAAAGTACACCACACATAATGATGTATTTTCAAACAGGGACAGATGAAACATGTTATTGTTCCAATATCTCATTTCTTGCATTTGCAGATGAATCCTCCCAATCTCTCTTTTACACTCTCTCTCTCCAATTTGTCATATTTTTTCCTATCTCATAAATGATTGGACCCACTAAAATATTGGTGGTTGTTAGAAATTTCCAATCATAAGTTAGTAAAAAAAAAAAAGAAAATTAAATGTGCAAAATTGTTTTTGTCTACGTGGCAAAATCGTTTCTGCCTTCAAGAAGAAACAAGTAGAAGATGGAAAGTTAATTATATGGGGGTTTTAGTTTTTTTCTTTTTTAATTAAAAAAAATCATTTTCCTAAGCTTTCTCCACGGCTCCACATCCTCAGTTCTCTTATTCTTCTCTTATATTTTCCTTTTTTTTTTTGGGTTTCTCTTCTTATATTCTCTTCTGTACAATAAAAAATCTGAATTACTCAAAAAGAATGGTTGAAAATTGTTATCACCAAAATTAATGGAAGTTAAGTTTTTTCCTTTATCAAAGTATCAAAAAATTTTACCATACCCAAGGGTATAAAAAAAATTAAAATTAAAATTCAAAATTTTTCATCCATTTTTTGAATAATTGAAAATAAGTGACTTTTCAACAATATTTCTTCTTTTAAAAAAAATATTTTCAGCAAAATTTTCCATCCATTTTATTTTTATTTTGCTACAGGCCTATAGTATATAGGTAATCAGTCTCATACTCTTATTCATAGCAAGAAAGGCAATTAGGGGTGTTTGGTTCAGGTCATCTTTGATTACCTAGGTAATCTGAGTCTGGTAATGTTATATTACCTTGTTTGGTTCAAATTATGAGATTATCTGAAAGCTGATGTGGCGGTAATGTTTCAAGATAATGTGATTACTCCCATTTTTTTAGGTAATCTTAGATTACCTTGAATTATTTCAACTTTGCCCTTGTTAACTAATCTTTATCCTTATTATTATAATAATAATAATAATAATAATAATAATAATAATTTTATTATTATTATTATTATTATTATTATTATTATTATTATTATTATTATACTATAAAATATACATGTGTATATTTATATATTTAGTTTTTTAATATTTGAACATTGATATACATTCATACATATAAATAAATAAAATAAATACACACACACACACACACACACACACACACACACACACACACACACACACACACATATATATATATATATATATATATATATATATATATATATATATATATATATATATATATATTATTGAAGACATTATTATAAATTGATTCATATAACCTAAAATATAACCCTTAACCAAACACGATAATATTATATTCCACAATCCAAATCAAACTCATAAGGTAATCTTACATTCCGTTAATCTCACATTCCAGTGATCTCACATTACCTTCCTAGAGGTAATCTTATTACCTGGGGTAATCCAAGATTCCGTGAACCAAACGACCCCTTAGGGTATCTCAATAAGGGGATTGTTCGCGTTATTTTAAGAAAATTTGCTTACATTGATAAAAGAGAATAAAGTGAGAGAAGGTTTGAGGTGCTTATGTTAATATGGAGATTTTGTCAGCTTGTGGAGATTTTGTCAAAAAAAATATGGAGATTTTGTCAGCTTGTGGGCCCAGCTGAAGAAAGAGACAGACGGTGATTTTGGTTTTTGCTTCTGACAATGTCACTTTTTGCTTTTTTAATTTACTTTTTCTTATTTTGTTTTGATTTTTATGTTTTATTTTTATTTTTTTCTATTTTCTCTTTCATAATCACACCTATAAAAACTCATCTCAAACTACACCAAAATCTCTACTATTAGGGATGTCCTTATTGAAATTTGACTTGTAAATCATTATTTTTTCTTTGGATATATCAGGGTTTCACTCAACCACACCTCCCGGTTACATGTAAATCATTATGTGAATACTTCAATATGTATAAAATAAAATAAAATGAAATAAAAATAGTATAGTTG